GAATGTATTAGGAAATTCACACATAACTTAGCTAATGATGAATTAAGAGTGGGTTTCCGAATGAATTCCACACATGAAGCTTATTTGTTCCAAACATGGCCTCAATTTCACATCCAACCTCAGATTTGACAGTTTATGCTTTCAAACTATGGCATTTTCACATTTTAATTGCCAATATTATTTCTAATAATCAAAATTATAAATACTATCCAAATGGTAATTATAAAGATATGCATTTTGCACCTATCTTTGATTGCAGCAGCCATGGCCATAAAAGCCTGTTCCACATTGGTTGCATCTTTAGCACTGGTTTCCATAAACGGTATTCCAATTTCATCCGCAAAGGCCTGAGAGGAAGAATAAAACATCAAGGGGAAATATGATTAACCAAATAAACCAGATACTAATTTTCTATAAACATAACTTTATCCTTCTATCATGGATCGGTAAAGACGACTTAAAAGACATGAATAACCGAACTTCTATTCTGAGCAAGGGAGAGAGACTTTATTCAGAGAGGGCCAATGGCTATACCTTGGCAGTTTCATATGACACAACTTTATTCGCACTGAGATCACACTTGTTTCCTACCAGGAGTTTGTTCACATTGTCACTGGCATAGCGATCAATTTCATTCAGCCACTGCTTAACATTATTAAAGCTCTCTTGGTCTGTCACATCATAAACAATCTACCAGCAATACCAACCAGAGGAAAAAATATTCGCTGTCAGGAGAACCGTTAAAACAGGAAAAAGAGCTAAAACAGTTTAATTGAAACAAGACCACCCACTATGATACCATGCGCCCCACGATAATAGCTGCTAGTAATAGTCCTGAAACGTTCTTGCCCAGCAGTGTCCCACTGCAAGTAGAATAAAAGCAAATAGGTTACTCGGTCATCAAGCAACTAAAGCCTCAGAAAGTTCATACCGTGTGTCAATACTAGAAAAAAAAAGGACGATTTAAAAGCAATTCCAAAACATGGAAAGAACAAAGAGGAATTGCAGAAGACAAACAAGGAACATCATTCCCTAGCAAAATATATGTTCATAATTCCTCTCCAGAAATTATGGACAAGGAAAAGTTAGAGCACCATAATGAGTTAAACAGAAAAAACAATACTAATAGTAACAAAGAAATCAGAGCTCATACTATTTGAAGCTTAATAGTCTTCCCATCTTGCTCTACAGTGCGTATTTTCTGCAAAATGGGAAAAGATATAGTCATTGCTGGATACATATTTCTCACTGTTGAAACAACTTTACTACTTACAAAATCAACACCAATGGTGCTTATGTAACTTTCCAGGTATGAATCATCCTGCATCCAAGAAATAATGAAATCATCAGAGTCATGTAATGGCAAATAGCAGTCAAAAGCAGTCAACTTCATGTGCCAAAGAGGAAGAAAGTTGTAAGGACCACATTGCAGCCATCTAACTTTCCTCCACAACATACCTACATTTTCAAAGTTCTTTTTTATACAAGAAATTTTTCTGACGGAAGGAAAATTCTAACATTTTAGGCCACCCAATTTCACCTTTAAAAAAGTCAAAGATTCTCTTAAAATGTTGTTTTTTTGAAATAAAAAGTATAATATGCATCATTAACTCACAAGCACCAAGGGGGTGCCATGTACAAAACTTTTACATATCAATTAGGATATCAATAAGCTTCCCAAAATGCTCCGTTGAATAAGAGGATGACCTAAAACCAAGAAACTCAAGAGTCTGGAACCACGTAGTTCCAACCCTATCAATATTTCATCTAATCCCTTAAAAGCTCCCATGTTTTTCTCTTTCCACACTATCCAAAATATAGAAAGGGAAATGAGATCTGCATGTTTCTTTCCACCACTAATACTCATCCAAGCACAGATCTCATCCAACATGTTTAGAGTCTCTGCCATCACAATAATACTACAATTCTGTTTCACTAAAAGAGCAACCTCAACTAATCAAAAACCAAGGAATAAAAAATCATGAACTTGCTTCATAATATATATTGCTCTTCATCTATGGTGCATGAGGAGATGCAAACACTTAAGTGATAAACATTCCAGGATGATAAGCAAGTCGGCTTGCATTTTGTAGCCTATATAACATTACCGAAACCACTACCTTCTATGCAAGAATAGTATCGCATATATCCCAAGTTACATAAATTAATGTGAAATTTACATTTATGCATTTGCTATTTCCTTACAATATAATTTATCTGAATACTAAAAATTAAAATGAAAATTGAGTCCAATCAAAATATATTCTGGGATAAGCAAGTTGGTGTTGTATTTTGTAACCTATACGACAACTGAAACAATACCTTTTATGTGAACAACATCGAATATATTTCAGATTGCGTAAACAGAGAAATACGTTTATGCATTAATTGTTTCCTTGAAGAATGATTTATTAGGATAACTAAAAACTAAAAAGAAAACAAACCATGAGCAATGAAAATTGATTTTTATTTTCGAAGACATAAAGTTCCAGAAGCTTACAGCAAATCTTAAAAGAAGACAGGATTTGCCAACACCAGAATCCCCAATAAGGAGAAGCTTGAACAGATAGTCACTGCAAGTTAGAGCAAAAACAAAAATAACTTTTCTGCAGCACATGGGTTAAAGGGACAAATAAGAATGCATTTTGTTCTCTAACACAAACAATCCATTCAGCCACAATAGAGAGACAGAGTGCAAAAGAGTTGAGTGAATGCAATCAATTTACTGAAGTGATGAAAGCTAAACTGTTTAAGATGCTTTATTTGTTTCCACTGATCACATTCGAAAATCCAACAAATAACTAGCAGTTACCCTGGAGGCAAAATTGAATTCCATTTGCCAGTTATCTCAATAAGTTTATTTACTTAAGACAAGTCACATCTTCTTTGTTGGTGACATCTTTATAGTTTTGTGAAGACAGAAAGTTAAATCTTAATATGTTCCATCTAAGATACTAAAAATAATAAACTAGAGATTCCAGATTCTCTAAACTAATTCTGTCTCCATAAGAAATGGTGGGTACAAAATGCAGATCGAAACAACACCACCATTGAAGAGCAGGTGTGTTAGTGTGATTATAAGTTCTCTTCCTAACTTTAATCACCAAGAAAATTGAAAGCCAAAACAACATAACCGACGAAGAAATAGCAAATAACAAGATAAGGTGATTCGCATGAGATTTGAACTGGAAAAGACGAGATAAACTAAACTGCTTGCGTACATCAACAAGCAAATCCCTACAAGAACACCTAGATTCAATTGATAGATCTAAAACTCGAATAATTAACTAATTACCAAATCAAGTATTTCCAAAAAGCAAAAGATCAAAACTTATCAAGTTATGGTGAAAACACCCAAGTAACATTACACAGCTAACAAATCTTAGAATACACAGAGAAAAAGCAAAAGATCAAACGAACATACTACTCGGGATTCATGGCCGCGTGGAAATAAAATAGGATCCGGAGAAAAAGCTGCCAGAATCCGGTCAGTTTCCGGGCAGATATCACCAGGACCTCTTTTTAAAATATGTAGCGGAAACTTGGAAAGCAACAGAGAGATGACGAAGGAGAAGAGAAGCAGAGACGAGACGAGTCGCAAGCAAATGGGAAATGTCAGAACAAGAGATCTGAAATGGAATGATCATAGAAAATTCAGTTGGGTGTTTCGGACAAGAGAGCCTCAATCCATATGATATTGGGCTCTGAAAAATTAGGCCCAATGTGAAATTATTTAATTTTTTACTTTAATGTGTAAAATAGAATTAATTTTTTAATGAAGAGAAAAAATTAAAAATTAATATATATATATATATATATATATATATATATATATAACACAATAAGGCTTCCTCCTCTCCAGCTCTACTTGTTATTCATCAAAATCCTCTCTTCTCTTTAACTTGTAATTTGTTGTCAAAATTAGAAAATTATTTCTCTTTGTAATTTTTTCCCTTTTTTTTTTTTTTTTTTTTAACTCAAATCAGAAGATTCTTTTATGATGTATTTTAAAAGATATAAAAAATTAATTAATACCCAAATACCTAATATGATGCTCATCCCTAATAAACTACTTAATCTTTTTTAACTCTCAAACAAAGAACTCAATAAAAATAAAATATACAATTTATTATCAAATTTTATTTTTATAGTAACTATCTGATTCATTAAATTCTAAAATTTACTCATATAATATAGTATAAATCATTTTTTCTTAAATTTTTAAGTTTTTTATTGTAAGTAATTTATTCTCAGTGTTATTTACCTCATACAAATATTTTAATTTTATTCATAATACTCAAACATCAACTTTATAGTTATTGTGAGAATAAATATTGTACTTAACCCATAGTCTAATATTTTTTATTGTTTTTTTATGTAATATTTTCAATCACTTTTAAATTTTTATTAAGCATATTTTTATTAATTTAATAAGATTAAATAAGTATTTACAGTACAAAAATCTCCCTCATCAATCAAATTCTAAATCGAGTATTAATGATTTTGTTGAATTATTCATATGAATTTATATAATTAATTGTATTGTTTTTCATTATATATAATATAAATTGTATAAATGAATATAAAAGTAAAACAGAAGATATAAATTTTAACCTTGAAAATACTCTAATTTAAAGAAAAAGAGCTATGAGTTAGATTTTAACTCAAATCCATTATAACAATAAATATGATCACTCTTAAGTTAATTACAAACTCTTCGAACTTTTTAACTTAAACACCTAAACTATCCCTCTAATATCTTATAATTTTTTTTAAATATTCTTGAGTAGTAAATAACTTGTAGTTCTGTAATCTATCTCCATCCAAACTCTCGCTCCTTTTGATAAATCATATATGTAAATATAATATATATATATATATTTTAACTAAAACCCAAAAGCTATATTATATATATATATAACCTGGTAACGTTTAGATAAAATAATATAACCTAAAACAATTCAACGATTTGATTCGCCATGTGAGTTGGGATTTTTCATTCTTTGTTTTTCTTAATGAGTGCTTCTTATTCCCTCTACTTTGGTTGATTGCTTCTGTTTAATCTATAATTATTTGGTGCTTGTCTAAAAAAATAATTATTTATATTATAATTTATAAATTTATTAAAATCCAAATTACTCCATCAAAATTTCAATTTGATATAATCCAATTCTCCAAAATTTTATTTCAAAAGCGCCTCCGTCCCCACTTTCGTCTCTAGACAGAACCAGGATATGGATGAAGAAGAAGAGATTTTGATGGAAGTGGAGGCCGTACGGGCTGTATACGGAGAAGATTGCAAGGTTATTGATTCGTATCCGCCCCATCTTCAGTTACATATCAAGCCCCGCACTGCTGATATCTCATCTCAACAGGTCCTTCTCTCCTTCTCTATCTCATCTGTGCATGAATTCGATATCTTAGTGTTTTGTCTGCTCAGAACGAAGAGTTTGGAGTGTTTAGGGACTGCAATTTTTACTTTTTTATTCTTCACGTGAAATTGGAATCCTCTTACAAATTAGTTCAGTTCTTTTTTCTGGAATTTTTCGATATTTGCTATTTGCACATAACCAAAATATAGTGTGGTTATCTCATTGTGCGATTAAATTACCTCATAGCATTGAATCTCCTATGCTTAAAACCGATGTTTCAACCCCAAAAAGTAATAGAACTGCTCCTAAATAATTCAACAACATACTAATAGGTTTGTTGCCTAATCTTTTATATATATATGAAGTGGAACTAAATTATAACGAAAGCTGGCTGTGGTTTTGGGGCTAGAATGGTGGTTAATCCGTTTACCTGTGTTTGATGAGCAAAGAAATGAAAAAAAGGTGTCTCCTTTTTACGTTTTATCATCCACTCACCTTGGGGTAATTGTTTTGATATATGTATATGTACGTGTATATATATATATATATATATATATATATATATATATTTCATAGTGTTTAAAAACAAGTTGCGCGATTAAAAAGAAAATAGTTTTTCTTGTTTGGAACAAATCAATCCTTAAAAAGATGTCTGGGATTCGAATAGAGAACCACATTGGTTCACGTTCTAAGCAAAAGAGTGTCAAATTATAAATGAATTCCACATCAAGAACATCATTGCTTCTGAATGAAGCGTTTGATTTTTATGGTCTTGGTAGATCGAAGGAGAAGAAAGATGTTTACCTATTTAATCATGTTTATCAGTTGGCAGATATTTATTCTGGGTGAACTTTGCTTGTTTGTTTTCTCCTTTCAGGCTTCTTGGTTGATTTATATGTATTCTTAACTAATTGTTCTTCTTGGAAACATGTTCTTGTTCCTTTTGTAGTTTGTTGAAGCAGTTATCACTATACGAGCAGGATCTGAGGTAACCTTTGCATGTTTATATATAAATCTTTTTTTATTCTTCTTTTGAGGTCAGAAGGACATGAATTATGTAGCGTTGTGGGAGAATAAAGTGTTTGATTAAGATTATTAAGTTGTTGTTTGGATCATTAACTTCATTGATTTTCTAAGTTATGTGAAAAATTAAGAAAAATGTAGTGCCCCATATTATTGTTCCTTTTTTTTGTTCTTTTTCTCTATAATTATAAACTTTATATTATGGTCCTCTATATTGTATAAACTTTGTTGGGTTAACACAAACATGAGGATGGACCCAGACCCAAGTTAGGATTCCTTTCTTTTGATGAAAAAGAAATATTATTAGCTAAGTAATAATACAAAGAATGGAGAATTAGATATTGTGGCAAGGCATAATTACTACATGCATATCTTGTTTCCTTTTATAATAGATTGTAGCCCTAGAATTAGTTAGATTTCCTTATCTTCCTATTTTCTTAGGATGACCTATAAATCATGTGATCGAGAATATAAATTTCCTTTTCCGTAGCTATGCTTGCTGTATGTACATGTATAACTTTTGTGTATTATATAGAATAATAAGAGATCAAATTCTTCCACAGATATCATCTGAAATTGGCTCAGCGAAGGCTTAATGCTGCCATGGCTATCAATGTGCTGATCGTAATTCTGTTGCACGATGATGTCTGCAGCACCCTCAATCAGGGTATCTGCGATAACAATTACTTTTGCCTGGGTTTCTTTTCTTTTGGCAGTTTGGATACTGGGGTTTGGCTCTATCCAGTAAAGCCATCTCAACTTGGAAAGCCTTAGGCCATTATCTGTTTTCTCCTCAATCTTAGGGCGTCTTGTTTTGAGCTTCAGCTGAGCTGAAACCAATCTTGAGAAAACACTATATCTGGGGCTTTTGAAGAGGATGGTTTAATCTTATAGCAAAAAAGAAGTCTTTTCTCTAGTTCGTAGCTGTTAGGACAAAATTACCTTAGAGGCTTTCTGCAACCATTGGGCCAATCCGACCCTTTGGAAGTCAGCTGCAATAATTGACGAATTTTCCTCACAGTTTGAACAATTTTCCTCTCCATGATAGCAACTTCTCCCTTCCTCACACAAATACATCTCCCAAAAGCCAACTGTACCTTTTGGGACAAAAATCATATTCCTCATTCCACCAGCAAATTCTGATAAAGCTAGAAATTGACTTCAAGGATTTGGAGAAGTTCAATTAAGATGCACCTATTTAGATCTCTTAAAACCGGTTGGAGAACATGATCATGCTGTGTGAGTAGTGGTATCTCTCAATCACTGAAAGCCATTCCTAAACAACACAATTTGAAATTCTTCTCAAAAGATTCTGAAACTAACAATCCAACAGGACTGGTGACTCCTGCCTTAAGATTCTAAAGTATTTGGTCTCAATCGAGAAATCAATCACTCCCCTTGTTACCAACTCAAAACTGAAATCTAACCAAGCAGGATAATCACAAAATCAAATGATAACTAAATTAAAAGAAGAAAAGAAATTGGAGAGAATAAAGGTAGCTCATTCTATAGCTCCTAAAACTTGAGTTCCTGTCTGCAGAGCCTTTTGGTCTTTGGGCCACCAGGACTAATCAACTGATTTTTCTATTGCTTGTGGATTATTCTCAAAATTTTGAACCTTAATGTGTTTCTTTATGTTTGCAGTATCCAAAAGAACCACCTCTTATTAATCTCATAGACTCCAAGGGTCTCGATGACAAACGGAAAAATCAACTGATAAGAGGTATACAGGACAAAGCATGCGGACTCACATCTTGTTTAATGGTTGTAGCTCTTTGTGAGGTAAGTTTTACGTTATGCATATATCACCATAGTTGATGAGTCAGCTGATGTTTTACTCTAAATCATCATCCAACAGTTACCATTCCGGGTGAATTGATTTTCATATGTATCAGAGAAGAATCAGAAGTAGATAAAGAACTATGATGAGAAAACAAAACTAATACTTACGTGCTAAGGCATATTAATGAGCAAAAGGGAAAAGGTGTAAATCAAAATTGCGAGGATAGAGAATAACATGAAGTTCTTGTTTCCATAGTAATATGCCTATAAACTAAAGTGGTACTAGAATCCATCTTTTATGTATATATATAGAGTTAGGGGTATATATACATAAAAGATGGATTTATATATGGAAACATAAATCATCCTATTAATACTAGAAAATCAACTAATAATTACATAAGAATATTTTATAATATATTTTGTGATATTTAACACTCCCCCTCAAGCTGAAACATACATATTGATCATACCTAGCTTGTTATGAAAATATTAAATTCGGGTTCCATTCAAAACTTTTGTGAATATATCACCTAATTGTTCCTCTGTTTTCACATAACCGGTAGAAATCAAGTTCTCTTAAATTTTCTCATGAGTGAAATGACAATCAACCTCAATGTGTTTAGTTCTTTCATGGTACACCAGATTTGAGTCAATATGAAGAGTAGCTTGATTATCACACCAGAGTTTTGCAGATAATACGGAATTCAAACCCACTTCTACTAAGAGGTTTGTATCCATAAGACTTCATATGTGGACTGGGTCATAGATCTATGTTCGGGACTCTGCACTGGATCGGAATACAACGGTTTGCTTCTTACTTCTCCATGATACCAGGTTCCCACCAACGAAAACACAATAGCCTGCAGTGGATCTTCTATTAATTTTAAATTCAACCCAATTAGCATCTGCAAAGCATTCAATGTGAATGTGCTCATGATTGCTAAATAGTATACCAAGTCCTGGAGCACCTTTTAGGTAACACAAAATCTGTTTCAAAATCTTCCAATGTTTGACTGTAGGTGCAAACATAAATTGACTAACAATACTGATAAGATATGCAATATCTGAACGAGTCACTGTAAGATAATTCAGTTTTCTAACTAATTGTCTGTATCTTTCTGGATCATCAAGGGGGTCACTATTATCTTTAGTAAGGTATACATTTACTACCATTGGAGTAGCTTTCCAGTTTCTACAAGTAGATCAAGTATATACTTCCTTTAAGATAAGAATCTCTTTCTTGTTTCTTGTTACTTTTACTTCCAAGAAATATCTTAACTGATTTAAGTTTTCGGTGTGAAACTTGATATGAAAAATGATTTGAGAGAGGATATTCTGCACAATTATCACCTATAATAACAATATCATCAACATAGACAATAAGGAGTATAAGATTTCTTCAAATGACAGACTTTTCCATGTTCCCCGTGAGTAATAAATCTAGATGGTTGCTTCATATACACTTCTTTTAGAAGGTCGTCATGAAGGAATGCATTATTGATATCTAATTAGTGTAAAAACCAATTGTGAGATGTTGCAATGGAGATAAATAAACGGACATATGTAAGTTTTGCCTCTGGAGAGAAAGTATTAGAATAATCAACCCCCCATAAGTTTGAGTATAGCCTTTTATTACAAGTCGGGTTTTAAGTCTTGCTACTGAATCATCTAGGTTTACTTTGACTGCAAAATCTATTTACATCCCATAACCCTTTTTTTTTGGGTAAATCCACTAAATCTCAAGTATGATTTTCATCGAGAGCATTTATCTACTCAAGTATTGCATTATGCCAAGCAAAATGATTCACAGTTTTCTTAATTGTTTTGGATATGAAAATTGAGTATATAAAAGCAATGAAAAAAGTAGACGAGAGAGACAGATGGTCATACGAAATATAGTTAACAATGGGATAAATTGGCTGAGGAATTGTGTATTGACGTTTACCTTTACGAAAACCAATAGGGAGATCAAGGTCTTGTGAGGCAGAATTAGATGACGATGGATCTGGTGTAGGACATGTATCATGAGTTTGTTGTCTTCTGAAATAAACATGAACAGTCGATGGTGGTACTTGGGTTAAGAGTACACTAACATTGTCATCAATTTGCTCAAGTGACGTTAGAGGCATATCATCTAGAGAAATACCATTATCTGTTTGCTCAATAAAGGTACCTGGTGTGAAATTATAAATAAGCCACTCATCGTCCGCCCATTGATTTGTAGATTTGTACAAGGAGGAGAAGAACGATATATCTCTCTGAAAAAACCATATCTGTCGATATCAAATATTTATTGAGATAAGGAGGTAGCATCGGTATCCTTTCTGAAGGTGAGAATATCCCAAAAATACACATTTTAAGGCATTTAAATTCAATTTTGTCACATTAGGTCACACATCTCGCACATAACAGGTGCTACTAAATATTTTGAAGTTGCATCGAAAATAAAGATTTGTTTGGAAAAAAGAAAATTGTAAGGAGCATATCATCAAGTACTGTAAATGATATACGATTAATAAAGAAACATGCTGTGGAAACAGCATTAGCTCAGAATTGCTTAGGGATTTGCGTTTGGAACAAGAGGGCTCGAGCTGTCTTAAGTAAATACTTGTTTTTTCTTTCAGCGACTCCATTTTGAAATAGTGTATCAACACATAAGAATTGGTGAAGGATCACGTGTTGAGTCATATAATTATGAAATGAGTGTGACATATATTTTTTGATATTATTACTTCTCAATACATGCACAGAAATATTGAATTGTGTTTTGATTTCAGCACAAAAAGTACAAAAGTGAGAAAATACTTCAAAACGATTTTTCATAAAATATATTTAAGTCATTTGAGAAAAATCATCCACAAAAGTAACAAAATACTTAAAAGTTGTTTTATACGCAACAAGACAAGAGCCCCAAACATTAGAATGAACAACTCAAAACAGACTCAATTCGTCTATTTACTCTTGGACCTAACGGATTACGATGATGTTTTGCAAACCGACATGACTTGTAATTCAACAAGGTATATCATAGAACTGAGGACATAACTTTTTCAATACAGGTAGAGAGAGATGTCCTAATTGACAATGTGCTTCAAATGAAGATGTAACATTAGAATAGGCAACCGACTGAGGCACCCAGGTATCAAAAATATAGATACCATTTGATATATTTTCTTTACCAATAATCTGCTTCTTTGTAAGATCTTGAAGAACACAATGATCAGGAAAGAATGTAATACAACAATTTAAATTTTTAGTCAATTTACTCATAGAAATCAGATTGAAGGTAAATTTAGGTAGACTTAATACAGATGACAGGGTAATGGATGAAGTTGGGTTTTGTAGTCCAGGACCCCACAATGTTATAAGTCAATCCATCAGTAATAGTTACAGGAAAATGTGCATTATGTGGTCGAAAACTAGAAAATATATTAGGATTACCTATCATGTGATCTGTAGCATCAGAATCAATTATCCATCTGTTCGAAGAGATAAGATTTTTTTTCTCTAATTCAGCGAAAATAAAAAATTTATTCAAGAATTCCTGATACTGAGTGAATTTAGCATACTCATCAGCTCAAATGATAACAGTTCTTTCATAATATGAACTAGCAGTAG